AAGATTTTGCTCGAAGGAATTTTTCGAGCACGATATCGACATGAACGAAAAAGTGGCTCTCTTTCGTAATCGAAACCGTTGATGCTTGACAGTGACGCGTTTGACAACAATTTGCTGCTAATAGAACTTATTCGACAATTGAAAGCTGATTATGGCTTTTCTCTTCATTATCTCGTGCTGGTCAGTCATAGAGGAAAAAAAAATCACTGGTGGTCATTCTGAATAGTGTTGTCAAGTATCTGGGCAAAATATACAAAAATTATGACAAAAAGTTGGTAGGGCGATCAGCTGACGCTCATGTTTGCTATTACGGTGTGAATGTGATGACAAACTTAGTGAGTGATAGGCGGGGGTCATAACAGAATAAGAATAAAAATACAAAGCGCAACGCATTTGCCGTTGATCAACCCTTTTTGGGATGTAGCACGTATTCTACTTCCATTTGCACATTCGCAGTGGCACTGGAATCCGATTTGGCCTATACAATGTTACGGGGGCAAGCCGATGTGGAGGTGTTTTTTTTATCCTCCTGTCTGATACCAAGTAACCGTTCCAAAGAGGTGGAAGGCTTGGTTCGTAGACGTGACCCAGGATCCCCCGAGAGCGCGCGTATGGTAAGCAGCGCCACTTGCCACTACACCACTTCTGCCCTTATGGTGAGAGTCACGTTGACCATAATTGTTTATCTTTATTACCTATCATGGCCCTTGCGTGAACGAAGAACACACTGACAGGAAAAACTGACAACATTTTGTAAAAAAATAATCATCCACAGACCAGTTTTTTAGCCGCAGTCCGAACAGAAACCTGCTCTGCATTTGTCAGCAGTTAATTTGTTCGACACCGAAATGATATGGAATATTGAAGGGACGGCTCTGTTTCGCGCCGACAAATATCAACCAAAAGATCGCCTCCAAATGGCCACTGCAGTTGCGCATTTCCGCAGCCACAGTCCAGTAAGCGCAGAATTTTGGACGAATTCTGTTGACATACATACATCCAGAACTATTAGAAAGTGTTCGCGGACTCTCACCATGGCCCCTTATACACTGGATGACCATCTGAAGGAGGGGGCAGCGTGTAGGCACTCTGTAAATTATGCTATTGTCTCAAAAACGACAAATATCCTATCATTTGCCCTCATACCTTTTTATGTTTCCTCTGTTAAATTTCGCCAATAATGTTTTGAGTCCCGCCAAAACCACTCTTCCCTCCACCGCAATACCGCCCTCCTCCACTCCTACTCTCCCAACACCCTGAGCCCCTTCACTGCATCGTTCAACGGCAACAAGAAACTACGAATACGGTTTGGTCTCATCGGTAAAAGGGGCGGTGCACTGGTCTTGCTCAAAATGCCAGATTGTTGGCTAAGGATTCCATTTGAAGTTAGCAGTGATGCCGCTCTATCAGCTTCTTTTTTCCTATGTTAATTCTTCACGGTGTTCTGTGTAAATTAATGTTCTTGTAATTATGATACATAACGTCTACGAATGAATTACACCTAGTCAGCGGTCAGGACAAGTAACTTAGGAGGGAGGACGAAAGTCTCCGAGCAAAACCAAATCTCCTTCACTGGATCGAGACTCCCCTTCCCTTCTAACTCAGTCCTGAACGTCCAATCAAAATAAAGTGTCTTTTCAACAGAACCTTTGAAATGCTCGACGATCGCATATGCCTCTCCAATACTGATGAGACCGCCGTTAATCATTGCCATCCCGTCTTTGCAGTAGCACTAATAATGCCACACTGCGACAGTGCTACAACTGTCCACGCCTGGTTCGTTGATCTATTCATTTGAAGTGCAATGTTTGTTAACGTTTACATCGTGGTAGGTTTCCGTTGTAATCTGCTCTTCCACCCATCTCTTTTCCTGCAATTGCAGCCCGTTGCTCGCAGCTCCGGAAAGGGCAAATCCTTGTCGAAGAAAAAACTCATGACTTCATCTATCAACAACAAATCACTAGCTTGGTAGTCCCATCGTTCAGGCATAAGAAGGAAAGAAGTCAAAAAAGTGCATTTACTTCTTCGTAAACATTCAACGAACTGGAAGACTAGCTACACTTCAATCCCGTCGGAACATCTGGTCACAAAATGCTCGGCGTCGGGAACGAATTTCCACTATCAACCACGGAGTGGCTTCTCAATAGGAATTATTTTTTGAACCTTTTACTTATTGCTTGACATCCTCAACAGTTCTACTGCAATTCCTGTTCTAATCAATTGTCATGTCTCTATTGCTCTAAACCGAACTCGCCGTTAAAACGACGTATCCTATAATCCGCGCCCTGATACGCGCCGCGCTCCATGCCGTATGCACTGAATGTTTGAGAGTAATGGCGTACGGGGATGTGCGTGAGGCGAAGGGTCGAGTCGCCAGAACCCTATCTGGACAGATCTGTTCGCACGCTTTGATTTGGCACGCTTTGTTTTCACCCTTTTACTGCTTCTGATTGTATAATTCGCGACCGTAATTATCTTTCTTGCATACCAAAAGCAGCGAATGAAAAGAATACAAACAGAGAGCTGCAATATTGGAAGTGGCGACGCTTCCCAGAAGGGTGCCTGACGACGACATCCTCGACCCAACGTTCACCCATCCCGTCCCTACCCACACATTCACATACGCCGCCATGGCCCATCATTTTCCATGTCCCGCCTTTGGCGCCGCGCTACCTACCTTCGACTGTCTATAGGGTGTGGTATTCGTAAGTTTTCTTTTTTGAAGGTTGGGTTTCCGTGCGTGAAACCTTGTACAGTCGATATCTCGAAGTCCGATTAGGCGTGTCACCGGAAATGACGTGGCACCACCACACTTGATAGAAGTTGCGCGGATAAACTGCTTCCAGCACGCTTTGCTGATATCTGGCAGAGTATGTTATCCACACATCACCTATCAAGTGCGGTGGCTGCCACGTCATTTCCGGTGACACGCCCAATCAGACTTGGAGATATCGACTGTATGTTGCCTCTAGTGATCACAACTGATATATTCATGTTGGGAAAGTATGCAGGAATTTTCCTGGTAGGATTCCTTCAAAGGAGGATTCCACGATAAGGTCGGAGGTTCAAGAAGGGCAAATCCAGCCAGTACAGGCTTACCCCTAACGAGGCGGACGCCACTTTATACGCAGTGAAGGATATGCTCCTGGTGATCTAGTATCGCCGTCCCCGCGCCTCTATCGCCGTTGCCCGCCCACCTCCTCGCCGTCCGGCTTTGGCCGCCTAGCGGAGATGATGTTAGCATTGATACGATCAGCACCGATGAGACACGCACAACGAGCAAATCAACGGGGAAGACGCATTCCATCACGGTTTTAGGTTGTTTTTTCTCGATGTTTTGTTCATCCCTGCATTACTGATCAGTCCTTCTTGATTTCTAGCGGTTTTCTTTTCTTTGTAAACTCTGCCTTTGAAGCAACCCAGATGAGGTGTGAAACAACCTATTCTGTGGGTATGATAGAGTTGTCCAAGAAGTGCAGAAGTGACGTTTTTGCTATTCAAATCGGGTCGAGTGTGTGGTCCGCTAGGACGGAAAGCGACTTTTTCGCGTTTCGCAGTGCCAAACATCGTTCGCTGCGGAAACCCGCGTCCATTGATGATCGGCGGTGGACCTGAAGTTCCCGCAACGAAAAATGTTTCGCTGCGAAACGCGAAAAAATCGCTCTCTTTCATAGCGAGTCAGAGGGCCTACGGACAACTTGAACTCGGTCCTTTAAACCGCGTCGACTCGACGCTCTCGCCTGCGCCCTCTCGCTTGAAGCGGCTTATGATTTTGTGACCTAACGCATCCAAACTTTGCCATGATGTGATTGACTCACCCACTCCGGAGTCCCTTCTCCCTCCAAGGCCTAGTCCTAGAGTTGTCACCTTCCTTCTTGGGTTTTGAAGCCAAGCCATGCGCCGTTCTCTAATCGCCTTTCGCGGCAGAGAACACAGGGGACAGTTCAAGTAGCTACTAATCGAGTCAGAGCCAGGGTGATGAGGAAGCACTTGGCAGACAGACATGCGTGAAAATCTGTGTGAGTTTCTTGGGTGGGGCTCACTAGGAGAGAAAGCGACTTTTCTGCGTTTCGCAACGCAAAACATCGTTCGCTGCGGGAACCTCGGATCTACTGATGATCAACAGTGGACCTGAAATTTCCGCAGCGAAAAATGTTACGCACTGCGAAACGCGAAAAAGCCGCTTTCTGTCATAGTGGACCACACCCGAGTTACTTCCACATCGTCTCGCCACGTCATAGCAGTGGGCACCAGTCCATACGTACCCTCGCCTTCAAGTGACCAGAAATTGTGCAATTGCAGAAATTGACGTGGCATTAACGTGGCATCGATTCACAGACATCTTTAACCACACGTGATGTCACCTTTTCGAGAATTTAGCCACGTGTGCCACGTGGATTTCTGGCTGCATGAAACAGAGTACACATTTCACACCTACAATATTAAAAATGTGCCCGTCCCACTTGTATTGGGCCCAAGGTGTATTTCAAAACACTTAACAGTTTCGAGTTTGAAATTTAGGCCGTCTCCGATCGCTCCTCGTTGACCACGACAACTTGCTCAAGGTCAAAGATGACGGCTGTGGGCGGGAGAGCGGCCGAAACTGCCAGCTCAGACGCCAGTTTGCACTCGGCTGGTTCGGCCGGGCCTTCGCTACGTTTCTCCCTCCATATTTTTTTTTACTTTTACCGTTAACAGCATTCTGACTTTGTAGCTTCATCTTCAACATCACGCAGTTCTATGAGTGCCTGTTTTTCTATGAAAGGGCAAGCGTCGTTTTCGTGGGTGCAATCGATCGAGTGTTCAAATGGCGCTGCAAAGCTGCGGCGAAAATGTACTTGTTTGTTTTTTCCCGGGAAATGGGGTGTGCCAACCTCTTTGCCGGGAGGTTCGCGAGTATCGAAAGGTTTGATCGTTTTATAGTAGGTAGGAAGCCATGGTAACCGCACTGAGTTAATCCTAGTGCTGAGAAAAGCAACACACAGCGACTTAGTCGTTTTATGTACCGCTCCAAGATGTTACCTGTGAGTTTTTTATTTTCAATTTATTCATCTAGAGAAGTGTTTGAAAAGGTGATTATTTACTGGATTAGGCTTTTTGGTGCTGAAAATTCACCAGCTCTGCAGCTGTCGCACATAAAGAACTTGCTTGTGTCAGCAGTCAATGAAATGGCCAAATTTGAGTTTCTTTCTTTTATTGAGTGGATTAGGAAGCTCAGAACTTCAGAACTTTCGAGCGCAAATTGGGCTAGAGAAGAATAGGAACAGACGAAATTACCCAAAATGTTTTATATAGAATTATTAGGGTAAAGTGGGTTTCCACTAGTATAACATAATTTATTCAAGCGTGCGATATAATTGATAATTAGCAATGTGCCAGTAAATTAGTCCCATAGTTGAGCGAAAGTCGTTGATATTTGCCGTGGGCAACTGTTGGTTCGATCGCTTGAGCGCTGCCCATAGCTTATGATGATAGACTTATCAGTGTCGGTCTGAACGCTCACTTTGATTCTCCCCTCTGTGGTTTGCTTGCGTTACAATGTGTTAAGTCGAACTTGATGTTCCAGTTCTTTGATTGGATGATTTTTGCAGATGTCGAAGGCTTTTATCGGAAAACCCGCACCCGACTTCGCCACAAAGGCCGTCTATAATGGCGACTTCATCGACGTGAAACTGTCTGACTACAAGGGCAAGTACACCGTCCTCTTCTTCTATCCACTGGATTTGTAAGTTGGACACTTTTCCAAAATTTATGTTAATTGCTTTGCTATGAGGGGGCGGAGAGGGTCTGTTGTGTGTGTCGTCGGATGGCTGCTGAGTAGAAAGATCTTTGCAAATATCAAAATGCACACGTATCCTGGAGTTTATTTTTTTCGAAAGTTTTGGATATTGAAAAAAGAACTCTTGTGTGGGTAAGCATATTAATTCTGGTAAGCAATATGAAAAATCGGGGTGCCCAGTCGGCTTACCTAGCACCTGAGCCGGTTTATAGCATGGCCATAGATTAGGCTGCATGCTATGTTCTTTAGCCTTCGTTAATAGCTTTAAGGTTGGCAGTCATGTTCGTATGGTGATATGACACGTTGACCGATGCTGGCTGCTGATTGGCTGCTTGCTTCACTAGTGCTAAATAAGAGAAGTTCAGCCAGAATTTGGGAGGTGCTACCAACTCTCTTCTGCAAGAAGTGAGATACTAAGTTTGAGGGATAGAACGAGCAATTTTGGAGGTAGTTGATTATAGGGCTTGGTTGGTCCGCGACTTTATTTCGAGTGATTGTTTTTTCTGGTCTTTTAGAAGTCGTAATTCAGTCTGCTCCGTTACTTTTAATGTTTTCTTCTGGTCTTTTAGAAGTCGTAATTCAGTCTGCTCCGTTACTTTTAACACCTGAGGGCGTGGCCGCGTCGCGCACGAGTGAGAGCAGGCTAGTCGGTTTCTGAGGCAGCTCACGATTTATGCGATTAAGCGATTCGACGTTTCAGCGGTCATGCTGAAAGGATTGTATACATGTCGACTGAAAGATCGTCGACCTATCGCATCGACGAACGTTCATTGGGCGGGGTCAGCTGAATCGCTGAATTTTTCTTGATACACAAGTTTTAATATAAGCATAATCGCCAAATCGCACAAATAGCGAGCTATGAAAGCTACCTAAGCATGAGTCGGGAATAGGGGCGAGGGAGCATGACGGGATAAGAAAGTAAGGTTCTCTGCTCTCGAGTCCGGTTTCGTCCGCGCTCGCAGCGCTACACCTTTGGGTGAGAAAAAGACACAGAGCCGTTATGTACTCAAGATCTCGTTGCTTGTTATTGCATTGTGGAACATATCTATCGCGTAATATCGCTGATATTCAGCACGTTTGTCTGTCCTACGGAAATCATCGCCTTTTCCGACCGTGTCGAAGAATTCAAAAAAATCGATGCTGCGGTTCTCGCTTGTTCAACTGATTCCGTTTTCTCTCATCTGGCGTGGATCAATACTGTATGCTTTTTTAATGTTGTTGTATTTATAGTGACTCCTATATATTAGTAGGTGCAAAACATATGATTAATTTTTCAGCCTCGCAAGATGGGCGGCCTTGGTGACATGAACATTCCCGTTCTTGCTGACACCAACCACCAAATTGCAAAGGACTATGGTGTACTGAAAGAAGACGAAGGAATCGCTTACAGAGGCACGGCGCATATTTACTTGCTTCTTTTTATTTTCAACTTGTCAAGCTATCATTTCAGGTCTTTTCATTATTGACCCTAAGGGAATTCTGCGACAGATCACTGTCAATGACCTTCCTGTCGGTCGCTCTGTGGATGAGACTCTCCGTCTGGTGCAGGCCTTCCAATACGTTGACAAGGTATTTTAATTCCTCTAGTACTAGCCGTACACTGTGTACACCTGATGCACATGGACAACACATATATATTTCTACCTGTTCACTTTCATTACTTTCAGCATGGTGAGGTGTGCCCAGCTGGTTGGACTCCTGGAAAAGCTACCATCAAGCCAGGTGTCAAGGACAGCAAGGAGTACTTCAGCAAAGCAAACTAAGTTTTTACAAATCTGTTCATGCACTGCACTTCAATGTTGTTATAGTTTATCTCACGTTATCCACTGTATTGCTCTATGAGTTTCAATAAAGTCTTCGGCAAGAACAAGTCTAAGAGCACGATTCAAAACACTGTCAAGAATCCTCTGTGCAAAATAATGTTTTAGATGAATCGCATTCGATGGCGTTTGCAATGCTGCTGAACGCCGGTATTCGATCGATAGTGTTCTTTGACGATGATTCTACAGGGGCTGCGGAATCATTAATTACCTTGTCGAGACACGATTCAATTTTTGCTCGTTCATTGTTTTATCATCGTTCCCACTTTCATTTTGCAAATTTCGTTCCTGTCACGTAATGCATCCAAGTATCGGCAGGAATTTTTTTTGAATGTGGGGATGGGTAAGCTTCTGGGAATTGCACTGAATGGAAAGGGGATACGAAAAACGGGTGCAACGCTTGCTGGATGGGCACGCTGACTTCCTGAATACGGTAGACTTGGAATGACGTGGCGTCGGTCCTTACTTGACGTGACGGGACGTTATAAGTGTACTCGACATCCGAAAGATGGGTTAGGCGTTTCACCGGAAGTTACGTGCACTTGATAGAAACTATGTAAGCTGCTGCCAACGTGCATCGCTGGATATTGGCGATGCATGCTGGCAGCAGCTTATCCACGCAACTTCTCTCAAGTGCACGTCACTTTCGGTGAAACGCCTACCCCAACTTACGGATATCGACTGTATGCTCGCACATTCCAGCTTTTCACGCATGTCAAGTTACTCGGCTCACTCTCCATCCTCTTTCCTAAAACTGAATGCCCTCCTACTGGCTACGAATTCCTTGCTTGGCACTGAAGGGCCCCTCAAGGCCTGGTCTGTCGATTTTCGTGGCATCGTGGCGGTGGGCGCCAGTCCCCGCATACATAGGTACTTAGTTAAATTATTTAGAATAAAATAGGATCGATTTTCTAGATATGGTAGGATAATTGAATTAGAATTTAACTATGTCTTAGTATTGTGCTGTCCCGGAGCCTCATCAGGACCTAAATTTGTTTGAAACAGAGAAGCTCCAAAAGTTTTACCAAAAGAATTCCAAAAGTTCACAAAAGTCGAAATACTCCAAAAAACGAGCCAAAAAATTTTGAAAAGAATTCCTTTGGAAACTTCCACGATATTTCGGTGTATAACACCTTCTTCAGGCCTGAAATACATTGATTATAACTTGTTTAATTATTTTTGATGGTTTCCCTAATCCCCCTAGGTACTTACATGGAGTTGCCTCTGCCAAGGGGAAGCTACCCTTACGGGAGCCGCGCCGATGGAGTAGAACAGATGACTTGCCCCTCCCCCTTTGCTTAAATAGTAGCGGACGTACTGTGACGGTCATTTATGTGATAATAAAAATGACGTGACTTTGAGCATCTTTATTATCACATAAAATGACCGTCACAGTACGTCCGCTACTATTTAAGCAAAGGGTGAGGGGCAAGTCATTCTTTCTACTCCATCGGCGCGGCTTCCGTAAGGGTAGCTTCATCCTTGGCAGAGGCAACTCCATGTAAGTACCTACGACTAGGGAAACCATCAAAAATAATTATACAAGTCATAATTAATGTGTTTCAGGCCTGAAGAAGGTGCCCGAAATATCGCGGAAGTTTTCAAAGGAATTCTTTTCAAAATTTTTTGGCTCGTTTTTTGGAGTATTTGGACTTTTGTGAACTTTTGGAATTCTTTTGGAATAAAACTTTTGGAGCTTCTCTGTTTCAAACATATTTAGAATTTAACTATTCTACCACACTTAGAAAATTGGCGTTCACTACCGACCAGCACTGCATCGAAAATGTTCGCCTCCAAAAATACTGCTTTCGGTATTGTCCAAGTTTTTTTCAAAGCGTTGTTCAATTTTCATCCTTTTTATTTGAAGATTTAATAAAGTTTACTTACATGCCATTACATGCTATTACATCATCGTAAATGTTGTATTGTTCACAGTCACAAATTAAGAAGGTCGAATAGTTCCGGAGCAGAGTCAACTGGCCTTTGTGCCAATTTTATTTTCACCTCCCCCCCTAAGCCACTATCCGTACGAGGGCTCTGAGTGTATCCTACCCTACTCTGGTTGATGGTGCGACCACTACGGCACTCCCACCCTTGGAAAAAATTCCCCATGCACCCATGTTCACCAATGTTGTCGGATCGCCGATATCCTCCGCAAAGTACTCTAGCGTCGCAATGGTCTATGGACAGTGTACTGCCAAAAGGGATACTTCAGTATGGTGAAATGGCACAGAGCTTGGGAACACGTGCCAGTTTCTATCACTGAAGTAAGTAAGGGGTAATAAACGGATTTTATAAATGAATATGATCGCTGCTAAGGCTTCAAATTGGCAACAATTATGTAGGAGTTCAGCATTAGTGAGGAGCTCACATTAATGTAACCTATTTTTTTACGATTGTCTTGCCTTTTTAGAGGATCTGAAACTTGAAGTATTCGGCATGCTATCCTTGGTTCCCTTTGAAGAGTTGAGGAAGAGGGACTTTAGATGCGGATGACCTCACACTCCCCATGCCACCCCTGCCAGCTCGCGTGTCTTGGCAATGCCTGTGGGACGACCCTGTTTAATTGGCTGGCTACGCTGAACGTTGACCTCGCACTAATTACATCACATCACAGTTATAGAAACGCAGAAGTTTCAGATATAGCGGAAATTAGCTGTAACTTAACAAAATAACTAATTACATGACACAATGTGAAGATCGAATTCTGAGAGGAGAAATAAGTAAATTTTAAAACTGAAGTTTTAAGCGCAACCTCCAAGAAATCACAGCTTATAGTGCACGATGCTTAACTGATGTTGAAAACCCAGAAAAAAAATCGCAGCTCAGAAAATTTTCTACTCTCCACTTAATATTGGTCATTTTTCACTCTCAAGGAAACCTTTAGTGAGAATGAGTGGATCAAGTCGCTCAAGCAAAATGTTTTCCAATATGTTCTCCCTTCACCATCTTTTTGATAACTAGTGATCCCAACATGACAGTACGATTTTAGCTTCGAAATGATCAGTTACCGACTCATTTTTGCATCTCTCAAAGTTCCCAAAGATGTCTGCCAGCTAGGTTGTGCTGCAACAATCTGATGAAATGATATTTAGAAGATGTATGTCTGGGATTACGCTGAAATTAGATAACTTTTCACTAAGCAGCAGAAGCATTTTCTCGAGTTCTTCAAAATTTACCCTTGCGCTGAGTCAACCGCCAGAGGAGCAATTGGTGTGGCATTCATTTTTTTATTGTGTCTTTCCCATTCCGTGTGAACGTTTCAAGACAGTTTATTCGGTTAATTTTGATTCATCCGGAAGCTCAACAAACGCTATATTGTTTACAACTTGTTAACAAGAAGTTTTTTATTTGGTAGGTTCGCTTTTTGGCGGTGTCTGTTACTTCTGAACTGCTCATAGTGTATCCACAGATGGGATACAATTGAGCTTAAAGGCAAATTCCGGGATTTCCGGCGCAAATTTGGGTTTTCCCCGTCAAATATGGAGCAGTATGCGAGGGCAGAAGTGGCGGGGCGTTTTGATAAGGTTTAGGCGCTAGGCGCCTAAGTTAGGGCATTGGCGCCGCCCCGAGCCCATTGAGCCCGCCCACCGTCCTACGTGATCTTCCAAACAACCACCAGCCGTAGGGGAGTTTTTAACGGATTTCAATCGCGAAAATCGACGTCAAAGCTTACCTTACGACCATTTCGGTGAACGTCGTCATCATTCTAGTGAGAAGAAAAAACTTTAAGATAGGAAAGAAGCAAAAAAAAAACACAGGAAAATAGAAAAAACAGGAAACTAGAAAAAATTTAGTTTTCACTGCAGACTTTTGTGGCCCTGTCTGTTGATGGTACAAAGCCAACAGTTGCTGTAGACATGTCCAATCACGCAATTTTCCCAGCCCTGGTTCGTAGGCGACTAACGAAGAGGAATGTCTAATTCTGTAGTTCTTTGAAGGTATTTCCTGCTTTTTTCATTACCTTCGATCAGCTAGCATCCAGCTCTTCACGCTCGAGCAGATGAATCGCTCGTTTTATTCCGGAGTTTGCCTTTAATCCAGCATGGAATAGCATACAATTCAACAGTAGTTTGATAGGCCTTGTTAGTTGATTTCTTTCTTTCTTCAAAGCAAACGAAAAAAAAAGCCAATCACGATCTTGGCAGGAAGCGCTCGTATATTGTAAAGTAGTACCAAAGCTATGAAATTCGAAGTTTTCAGGGATGTCTATGATTATGAGGCGGACTAGTTCAATGTAGATGAACTTTTAAATGGGTTAATGTAATCAAGTTCATGATTTTCACAATCGATAGTAGCTTAGGATGAGTGTGACAAGGAGTGGTCAGCAATCAATGGACCGCAATTAAGCGAGGTGTTCCCACAGGCAGGTGAGTGGAAGTGCGAACAGTCTCGCCATAACTGCAGTTGCATCTAAAGTCGCCAACCCGCGTTACACCACATAAAGTGAAATCTCAAATCACCCAACTCGTGCTTTTTATTTCGTCTGACTACTGACTACTGCCGCATCCAAATTCGGAATGGTAATCCCTAGCCTTGGTACAACGAAACGCACTGCTCGCCCAGAATTCAAACGGTATTGGCGCGAAAAACTCGTCCAGAGTTTTTTCTCGCGTAGATATAGCGACAAGTCCAATCTAGCTACGGACGATGTCATAATCGACTGATGCAGCAGCGAGTCGAACGATGTATCAGCGAGTCAGTAGTGTCGGGACCAACGTTCAAAGGAAGTCCCGCCACTTTCATACAGTGTCACTTGACAGTGGACGCCGTTTGAAAGTGACTGGACTTCCTTTGAATGTTGGGTCCGCCACTATCGAGTCGGTGGTACATAGTTCGACTCGCTGGTCTCAAACTATACATCGGCCTATGGCTCTGTGACCGTTTATCCTTCTTCTCAATCTAAAAGTTCTACTGATCGTTTGGACTGGATCCACTGGTGG